TTCTGTAGGACGCCAGTCCGTGTCGGTGGGCACGGAAATGTCAGACGACTCGGAGCTATGGCACAGAATCAGAGTGAGTGGCGCGGTGACAATATATATAGTCCAGCCGAGCACGCCCTTTCTTTGCTTCTCGTAGCCGAACACTTGTAGCCGAAAGTGCACAGAGGTCATAAGCCGCTACAGTTTCGCATATCCATAAATGTCTGCAAAGATATAAATGCATAGGTAATCATCAAACAGGTAACAGGCTCACGTCGTGATTGTATGTGCCCGTCTGCGAACTCTCCGTCTTTCACGCGCACATTGGCATAAGTTCCGAGTCGTCCGTGCTTGCTCAATTTATGCCGATCATCCTGGCATGTTACGAGGATAGAATGGGTAGTTGTGTTCAAAGGACACCTATCGAGATACAGGGCATGGCGAGGACATATTAGTACAGACACACGTGAAAGACGATCTTGTGACAACTATGACCCTACAGTGGGTTGTTTATGTGGGGTACCTTTGGGGTACCTGTTGGGCCTTGGCTTCCTACCGGATGGGCAGCCGCCCATGCGGGAGAAGTAAGGCGGTGCAATTTCAAATACGGCGGTGAGTGGCTTATACCTCGTGAAAGCCACGAACCGAAGATTGGGGTAAACAAACTTGACAAAAGAGCGAGGATCCCATTCAATTAGCATAGCACCATGAGTGCGGAACGTCATACCGACAACACGCCGAGGAAGGGCATAGCCGAGTCCATATCCATCCTAGCACTGTGGTCGACAATTCAGAACTTGTATGATAATCAATACTTAGGAACCGTGCTACAAGGTCTGGAGGGGATCAATGACGATGCCGGTATCCACATTCGGTGTAGAAGTGTGATCAACTTGGATCCATCAGATGCAGAACCTACGGGGATCATACGTAGTAGCAAGTGGCTCAGAGTGAAAGATCAGAAATACACACCATGGGCTATCCCAACGAGATGGTCAGGGTAGAGGAACAAGGAATACATGTACTGGTATGGTTCAATGATTCTCTTGGCTGGCAGGTTTCAACGTTTTTGGGCACTCAAGGGTGTGGCGGCGGCGTTTCTTATGGTAATGACGTTGACAGACGAGTAGACGTGATATTCCAAAGCCATATACGCTTGTAACGAGATATTCGGAGTGGAAGAAGAGTGACCCAATGAACCGCTGCTTGTTTTTCGGAAACCTTACATGAAGTTCGGCTGGCACAGGCTGAGCTGAAGCAAGAGGAATACTCCGCGTGAACTAGACCGAGGTTCAGGTTTGTGAGGCGTGTAAACTGGTCACGGATGCACATTCAACACTGGGAGCACGCCATGGAAGATTGTCGGCACACAGATTGCTGCTCCATATATCTTGTCCTGCCAAGTCAAAGTGTGTTGAACCCTTCTATCCATCCAATGAGCCCGGTTCCGTGGGCTCGCATGATACCAAAGAGGAAGCCCCGTTTAGTAGACAGAGTCTTTCTTATCGCTCGAGGCATGTGAATTGTGTAATGGATTCAATTGATAATACAAATCGGAATGGCTGTTGAATTGCTGTACCTCGGACGAGTTTGGTGGTGGTCAAGTTGAAAGAGACCCACAGAAGAAAAGATCCGTCTGATTGACGAGCGCACTGCTTTACACTGGCACGGTCATGGTGACTATACTTACGTGTAAAAAAAGACCTTGTCCTCTTGTGGGCAATGTCCCTCTCATTTCGCTTGAAGTGCGGTCAGCGGATCAGGTCCGTGCAAATGAACCAATTAATCAGAACCTAGTGAGTATGGCACAGTCGAAGATGAACAGCAAGTATGCAAGAGGCCCGATTCCGAGCGACTAACTCCAAGATGGCTGAGGAGTGATTGTGCGATGATCGCCTGGATATTTTCGGGCGACCCGGAGTCGCGGAGGCGCCGACGTCACTACGGGTGCCTAGCAGCCACGGGAAGACGCGGCTGCGCACCGGCAACGGCGGCAACGGGTGCAAGGCTGTGTGCCGTGATTATGGTGTTGTGGTGGCGGGTGAAAAGACTCGGTCCATGCATTCTTTGCGACTTTTCGAAGCACTTTTTGGAGGCCCCATCAATGGAAAATCCTTTCAGCGGCAGCCTTAACTAGCACTTCAGTCACGTTTGTGGGCGTACATATGGGAGATGGCCTGCTAAAAGTATTTGACATCCTTCTAAATTCATCGGCGGGCTAGAAGAAAAGCAAAAGAAGAGTTGGACACTGGCGAAGTTGCGTCTAGCATACAGCGTGTGAGCGCAGGCTGACAAGTTGGGATGGGCTCGGCTGTGTTGATCATGGGCTGAGTTTAGCGCAGTCAAGCTGTAGAAGAGGGATCAGGACCAGAAGAAGGCTTCTATTGCGACTAGTAGCTCCAACGTGAAATGAATTGAATTGAGGCCCAGACAGATGGCGAGGCGGCCAACGCGCAACTCCCATGACTGGCAGCCAGCGAGAAAGGGTCCAAACCATATCAGTACTGTAATTGGTTTCCCAACGATAGAGAACCATGTTATCGGCAGAGTTAACATCTAAGATCCGGTGCAATTTGGAGACTACATCGGCACACAGAGACAAGTCGAGAGGCACAATGCTTGTAACCCACTCGCAATCTGACAGAGTGAATGAGCGATCAACCTTGAGTGTTGGTTTCGGAACAATCTTCCTTAATATTCACCCAATCCTTGGTTGGAAGACATCAGAATCGTCGACTTCATACAACTTGAACTGGCAGGAACGACTGATCACCAGATCGTCCAGCGGGCCCTGAGCACGGGACCATGAGATGAAATGAACGCCGTGGAAGTCGTTCTAGGAGCAATCGTCGCGGCGGAGGTGTGCGTCACCTCATATGCGCTCACAGGTGTCTGGGCTGAAATGGGTTGGAGTCGCGTACTATGTGTGTTTTCCGAGATCGCGCGGGGGTGAGCGGATGTGTGTATACGCGGCGGCGTCTAGGATCGAGGGCGTCGCGGCCTGTCGCGGCTCGCGCGTGGAGCCACCGTCGAGTCCGATTGAGGCCGATACAAGAGAATTGACAGGATACACCCACGGGCCCTCGCACTCTCGCAAATGCAGCTCCGCTAGGCGAGGGCGAGATCGGAGAGACTACCTGGGGATAGACGGGGTGGGGACGCTCCTCACGTCTACAGCAACTGGTATGCCCGAAACTTGTCAACCGACACCGAAATTCAAATACCGAATGTCTGGCGACTCGTGAGCACGCCCGTCCTCATATACGATACGCAAGAAACGTTTGTGTGCACCTGGCGCACGCGCAGACGGGATCGCAATCAATTAACGAACACGAGGCCCCATTGGAATGTATCGATCCGAATTGTTGTAATAGTTATCGTTATCTCGGCGCTTTATCTAAAAGGCGGAGGAGGGCAGGAGCGCATGTCGTGTCGATATTGCTTGCGGGGATGATATGGTTGCGAAGAAAGCGGTCAGCGTTATGAGCAGAGTTGAGAGTTGAGAGTCTAGATCTATCTTTAATGACAGCGTCAGAGGTACCTCGGGGAGTCGAACCCAGCTTCAGCGCCAACGATGCGTTCTCTTCAGCGGGCTCGGTGTCAGGAGTCAGCGGCTGGAGGAGCTACACTTGCGTTACTTGTTGGTACGAAGGGGATTGGTGGACAAACGGGGAATCGACGCCGTCTTGCGTAAATTGAGATCCCCTAGTACCGAACCGATGCCGTCCGTGTAGGCGACGGGCATTGGAGTGTGGGCCTGAGGCCTTCCTTGATTTCATTCCGCGCACAGTTGGGAACACGCGCCAGAGAGACGCGTTAAACGCGAGGGCGAACCTGGTAGCAAAACGCATTGACGCCATGACGCGTCAGTACATCTTCTTGATGAGTGGGTGTGCACAAGCCATCCCCTGGAAATGAAGCAATTTGGACGCGACGGTGTTGATTGTGACATCATTGCAAGTACACCTCGTGTCGAGAATTGAAACTCGGAGGGAGGCTGTCTAATAGTCGGTGGAGTGACCCTAGATTCGTCAATTTGATATGATGTGGACACTTGCAAGGCCTGCCACAGCAGCACACAAGCACAAGCCGATGAGTAAGAGAGTTCCCAGAACGAACGAGCAGTGCATCAGTCCTTCAAGTTCATCGTTTTGAAGGGTGGGAGCACGAGCTGGCCATGACCGGCGTGGCGATACCACGAACGCCTGGTCGACCGGTAAGCGCCCGTCCCTCCTCTGCATAGAACTGTAACACAAAATTGAAGACAATGTAAATTAAATGTCAATGGACGGAAGCGAGTCGAACCCGTACCCAACGATGAATTGACCGTGACATGCTGGCCGACCACGATGCCGACCTGGCACACCCGCGTGTCTCCAGGTGCGCAGGCTGTCCAATGTCAAATTTGCAACGATGGATCCGGAGAGTGCGCGGTAGACGCGACCTGAGGAAATTGGATCCGAGAAACGTTGACGTCGCGGCATACGGGAGGTAGGATCCCCGGGCGTCGGCGCTCCCAACGCACCGGTACCAATCCTGGGATATCGATCTGGGAGCTTGAGAGACAGCGGCTTGAGTCACGAAAGTCGGGCTCGGGTCCCACTGGACGTGGCTTCTAAAACAACGCGGACAGGTGGTGGAAGAAAAAGGCCCAGAGGAAATGCGTGCAATGCGGTGTCAGAGGGAGCCGAACCCCGTGGTATTGGCCCACATGTATTCGTTATGCTGCAAGTGTACAATTTTGTTGGGCCTGGCCTTTCTAGCTGGGGGGAACCACACCTAATATAACTACAGTCACGGTATATGGCACAGGCAAAAGAAAGAAAGAAGGGGGGGTGGAGTCAGTATGTGAACAAGAGTGAAGCAGATACTCAGGGTGCAGGCACTGGCAGTGTTAAGGTCGATGGTGACATGGCGACATGGTGTAAAGGAGGTACGACGTGATGAGGCTGTCTAGGAGAGACTAACGTGGTGTCGACCGTCAAATCAAAAGTCAAAATACGTAGGAGAGAGAAGGTAATTGCATTAAGAGGGAATCGAACCCCCGGCGGGTCGATGAGGATACGACAGGCAATCTATGGCAACGACCCAGGTTACCACTACCCCATTAATGCATGCATATACCGACAACTCAGATCTCTACAGTACAATACAGCAGTACCCAGGGCCTACCGTGTTCTGAGAAGACGCTAGAATTATGCAAGTCACTCGCAGAGAATGTCCAGCACAAGCAAGCAAAACCAGAGCAGGCGAAATCGCAGTACTTAGGGTTGAGTGCGAATCCTGTTATTTGAAACGGTACTGGTCTCGATTGGATAAAAGGTGTTGCACAACATTCTACATCCAATTGCATTAAGAGGAATCGAACCCCCAGCGGGTCAAGTCTGAAGAACACGTATGTTACCACTACCCCGTTAATGCTTGCAAAGTACACCAACAACTCAGATCTCTACGGTATTATACTGCAGTGCGGGACGCTGTTGATGCCCCAGGGCCTGCCGTTGACGCTCCAATTATGATAGTTCAAGTTACTCGTAGAGAATGCCCAGCGCAGGCAAGCAAAACTATGTACAGCAGGTAAAATTGCAGTACTTAGGCTTGAGCACGATTCCTATTATTTGAAATGGTACTGTTCTTGATTCAATATTTAGTAGGATAAAAGGATTGACTTTCATCATAAGACATTGCATTAAGAGGGAATCGAACCCCCGGCGGGTCGAGCTTAAGGAGCCTACCGTGGAGGATGGCAACGACCCAGGTTACCACTACCCCATTAATGCTTGCGTACACCAGCAACTCAGATCTCTACAGTATGTTGGAATTCCGATTGCCGATTCCGAGCGCTCACAATGCCAGCTGATCGCGCCGCCACCATTCTTGTGGCTCACGCCAACTCATTTCGGTTTACTCAGGTTTTCT